TATAACTGATGATACATATATTGGTAGTGGTGCTCTGATGATTTTTGCTCAAGATCATTATGTTACTGGCACACATGCCATAATTAACAATTCACTTATAACTGAAAATGTTGAAAACTTAAGAAGCGCAAAATATTTTGATTATCCTCGTTACATAGAGAACTATTATCCAATTTTAAGTGCAGATGGTTTGACTGTTCTTTATACTCAAACAAACTATCCAGCTACTGTTTCTATCCTCAAAACTAATTTCACCAGAAATTATGGTGCCTTACTTCTTCTCCTTCACTACAATACCAGCCATGGCAGAACAGTATTTGATGAGGTTAGCTTTGTATCTAACATGGCAAAACATAAATCAAGTATACTATTGCTTATAATGACCCACACTTCAAATATCAATTATCCATTGGATTTCAATCATAGTGTGTTTGATAGCAATGTCTTGACTCAGTTGAAATCAACTCATTCAAGTATAGTTTTTATTAGTTTACATAATCCCTCTATTAAAAGTGCAGTCATTATCCATTTTAATAATTCAGTTTTTACCAAAACCAGAGAAGGTTCATGTATTTATGCCATTGATACAGGAACTCAAGAAGGTAGATACGAAGTTTTAAGCATTCATCTTAATAACGTAACTGCCCACAATAATTTTAAGACTAATAATTATTATGGCAACACAAATACTGATTTTTTAAAGATAAGGAATGCTAAAGCACTTTATATTAACGGGTTCAATAATTTTTCTTATAATTTTGGATCTATTTTCGATATCACAAACACAATAATAAGTTTGAGTGGTCAACTTAACATTATTGGCAACAATGGATACATGGGAACTGGTTTTAAAGTGAAAGGTTCCAGTTTTTTCCTCTTTTCTAGTGAACTGACTGCTATATTTGTTAACAATACTGCACTTACAATCGGTGGTGCTATATATGCTATGGCTGATGACGACTTCTCTTTTTGCATGTTTCAAAACGATACAAACAATGTTGCTACTAATATTAGTATGGCATTTGTTAGTAACACAGCATCAGAAGCAGGTAGCTCTATTTACAGCAACAATTTATACGGATGTGATACATATAAAGTGAATATGTTAGTCTTAGATTACAACAAAGTATTTTCCTTTTCTTCTAAGCACAGGAAAATTTCAATGTCACCTACTTCATTATGTTTGTGCGATGTACCTTGCAATGCAAATGATGCAACAAATAAACATAATTTGGGTGCTTTTATACGTCCAGGACAAAATATTGGATTTCAATTGGGAGCATTATATACTTATCACTACTCAATAATGCAATATGGCTATGCTGCAGTAACTTTTCTATTGATCGATCGTGATAATGTTCATTCTGTTCCTTCATGGCAAGTATCAGCTAATAGTGCAAATCAAGCTTTATTGGAAAAAGAGGACTGTACTTCAGTTACAATAACACTCGTAAAAATGAAAAATGAGCCTAATCCTTTGTCACCTGCTATTATTATATCATCTGGTTCATTAGGACTGACACTGTACGGTATACAGTTGCTTAATTGTCCTATGGGATTTGAACTAAACACTACTGGTGAATGTGTCTGTTCAAGAATATTGCATAAGCTTAGTTCCTCCTATCAACCTGTTTGTCACATCAGCTCTGGAGCAAATAACTCTGATATCTCTACAATTACAAGACCTAATACAGAATGGATTGGTATAGCTAATTTATCTAATGGCATTGTTATGTTTGGTGCAGCATTAAACTGCTTATTGTACTGTAGGTATAAAAGTGGCTACACTAAGCTGATAGTCAATGACACCAGTGTGGCACTTGCAGACTCTGATAATCTTAGTAACTCTGTACCATTATGTATTGATAATAGAGAAGGACTTTTATGCTCACAATGTCCTCCTGAGTATAGTGCAGTGTTGGTTCTTATGAATGTAAGCAATGC